ATTTGAAATCCATTAAGCTACAATGACAGCAACATGCCCATATGTGGCCACCATATCATCTAACACCAGACAAAGAGTGAGTGTTGCAAATACATTAGTAAATACATTATTTACGATTACATATTACTTACTGAAATCCAACTCGCTTTGGTGTATATTTCAAAAGCATTGAATTGAAATTTTGTAGCTTGCTGGTGTGTCTAATAAATAAATCATTACTTCACATGACTTCACAATTTTTATATTTTCCACTTTTTTAGGTGCGACTTTCTTTTTCTGATGGATGTGAAAGAGTGAATGAATTATGAATGTTCAGATGAGGGTATATATGTACTCAGAACATTGATAACTCATCTACTCATTCACATCCAGAAGAAGAAGAAAATCACAATAGAAGTCAAGTCACAAACAACAAGTGCAAGTGCAAACACCATAGGTGTAATTGAATAGTATCATCGTCAACATCCATGAAACATTTGTCATAAAAACTGTCGTCACACCATTCAAAATTATCCATATCATCCTCATCAGCATCATACATAGCATATTCTGAACTGACCAAATCCGAGCTGCTTGTTTATAAATTAAAAATATGTTAATGCAGCGCACAAATGGAAAAAGTATTAAAATATTATATCTACTGTAGCTAACTCTGGATATTTCCAAGTGTAGTCATAGTATCATAATTTATGCACTTGATAATACTATAAAGTAATGTTCACCTTGTTGTTTCTGAAGATTCAGATCTCTCACTTTCCGATTCTGATGACAGGCTACCAGGAAACATTCCAAATTCAGGGTTGATGCTTGTGCGCAGACTCTCAATTCTAACATCCAAACTGGGACAAATCGACGTGTCTGCAACATCTACTGTCCTGAATATAGTGAGCGAATACCGTAAACCCCGATTATAAGCCCTGGGCTTATATAAATTTTGTAAGTGTTTTTTGATGGGCTTATACATGGGGGGAGGCTTATATACCTTACAGTATATACAGGGGGCTTATATATGGACAACACTGGTAACCAAGTATTTATTGTTAATTACAAACATGAAAAGAAACAAAAATTATATTATATTCAATATGTGTGTGTGGTGGGGGGTATATTCGGGGGGGTGCTTATATTTGGAATGGTATGGGAAAGTTCTATTTCTATCTAGAATCTACTTATCAATCTCAGATTCGTCAGCCAGATTAGGAGACAGATGAATATCTTCATGAAGTAGTGATCTTCTAACAAGTCGTGATGGCGTGGACTAGACAACATGACCTGATGGAACAAAAAACAAATATTTGTATTATAATTAAAATTTGTTCCAACATTTATCCACTGGCACTGTAAATAATCAAGCATATATGAATAAAATACAAATACTACAATACAAAGATTCCATTTCCTTAAAATCATAGCTGTTGGAAGAATGATCATTGCGTATAATTTATAATGAACTCACCTTGCCCTTGGGATTGACTCGATGGAGTTAAGCATTGTTGATTGTTTTGACGCACTCTCATTTCTTCACACATTTGCAGTAGGTGACTAGCGAATTCACTATGGATTTTCTCAACCATTCCAACCAAATCTTTTTGTACCTGCCACTCGTTATAGACGTCCATTCGTAGGCCAAGCCGGTGAACTTCAATGCCTAGTTTTGGCCTGCCGCGCTTTGGCAACGATGGCGATGCCATTTAATACTGTATTAATTTTATAAATGTGGTATTTTTTGCTTCAAATATAACACGATTTCGCACAAACTAAATTATAAAAATATTATAACATAGAAGATGAATAAAAATTACGAAGATGGACAAAAATTATAAAAATAGTATAACATATACGAATATGGGCAATAATATTTGATGATTACTTCTCGCAGTACAATGTTCTCGTGAATTTCTCTGCCAAAAAAATGGCCGCCAGAGCAAATGAAGCGCGCAGTGCATGCCGGTTGGCACACATTCTTTAAGAGAAAAAATATATAACAAACTTGGAATTTGAACCTGCTAGCGTTAAAGGCCTTCATAACAACCAGAACTTCTCTTCGGTAAAATAGTTTTCTTTAATAAAATTGCCGACATTGTTTCACATACTAGAAATACATGCTTGCAGCAACCCTCGCCTGTATTTCCCAAACATTGATTTAAAACATGAAGCATCGGTGTTTACCCAGCACTGAACGTAGGCTCGCGTTGCGTGTCAATTGTAGTGTTGTCATAGCCATGCGCTTGTTTTCAATTTTTTAAAACTTTTGTATTCTTTTTTTGAAAAAAATTGCAAAAATGGTTGAATGTTTATTATTTTTATCTATACAATAATGAATTTTCGAAATATATAAGGTAGGTATGTTATTTTGTATTTTGTGAGCTTTTATTTAATACAGAATTTAATCTTAAACCCTTCGTAAATGTTGTGAAATGTTCATTCATGGTAAACGGCTTTTGCTGGTAAGAAAAAATAAGGTAAAGGTTTTGAATAATTTCAGTTCGGTTTTGAAATTAATTCACTCTCCTTTACATTTTATTTTTTTCCTTAAACCAAACAGGATAATTTAGGAAAATGAAGCTACTGAATCACAATAGAAAAGGAAGAATGCGTTGTTTTACGAAAACAATAGAGCAACAAAATTCATAAACATTAAACATTTAAGAGCAACGTGCCCTATTTATTACGATTTCGCACGGTAAATAAATTATTTATTAAATGGATTTCCCACGGTTAATAAATTCTTCTAAGTTCGTCAAACCAAAATCGCTTGTAAGCTTCTTGTATGATATGACTTTCCAAATTAAACTTTTGCTGATAACCTACCACTCTTGGTAAAATCCATATTTTTTAGATCAGTGAAGAGTTCCACCCATAGTAAAATGGACCAGAGCCACACGCCTGCGGATATAGATGAACTTTGCAGATATTGATGGACTTCGCTTTGTTCCATGGGTGTATGTAGGCGAGTGCATGGAATTACTACCCCATTCCCACTTTCCCTGAGATTACACCCAGAACAGCGGTCCTCACCGTTCGCTCGGGGAATTACTTACACTTTTCACAAATTTGATTGATATAACTACCTTTTGGACATTTACATGCAAGTGGTCTCACTGGATCCCAGATCATCTTTTCACCATTCAGACATTCATCACACCAGATCATCTTTTCATCATTCAGATATTCACCGCATCTGAACTAAAGTAAGTAATATTCACAACGTGAGCGGCATCAGCGGTTGTGTCGTTTCGGACCAACTCTAGCCGAAGATTAGAGGTCTGTTACAAAATGGAGGCGAAATCTGTTATTTCGTTTGTTAAATTCAAGAATATCAACAGTTTTGTTTGAAGAAAACATTAACAATTGTTGAATTTCTATATTATACAAAGAGAGAATCGTTTTTTGGATCCAACCATTGCTATCATGTTGCGTCTTCAGAACTGTATGAACTTCAAATTCATCCCTGCAATCTGACCTCTGATGTCGTATGTTAACATTCATTAATAATATGTTTAGGCATGTGTTATTTAGTATTGTATTACATAAAGTATCAATTATATATGAAGGTGTTGCTGTTATTACGTATGGCAGTCACATGGTGTGTTTTGATCTGAAGACTTTGACCGGGAGAAATTGTAATGTCAGTGTCTTTATATCGTTCCTCGTTTAAAGGTAGCTGTGATTCATTTAGAACATGATCATGGAAAGTAGCAGAGGTCATAGCTAGGAACCAACCTAGGTTAATTAATGTGATTAAGACCTTGCGAATATTTTCCAACAAATCTATATAGTTTAGCATTTTCATGAAATACATATTGCCTGTTCTCCCGCCTAGGATAGGTTTGGCTGTGTGATTTCGTCCTAGAATTAGCCTTGGTAGGCCTATAATTTCTAGCTAAACAGTTGAAATTTGGGGGGACATCTATGTCAGATTTTACCATAGCATTTTAACTTAATTTAAGGAAACTTGAAATTAACAAGCTAGACATAGCTAGTTAAAATAGTTGTTTTGCTAAAAAAGCTAAAAATGGAAATAGAAATAGCTTATTTTTCATACAAAAGCCATTAATTAAAAGTGCATATGACATTAATATTATCATTGCCTTGAATGAAAGAACCCTTGAAATTAAACTATAGTATATTTAAACTTGTTTTTTTGTTGCTTGTTCTCATGGTTTGTTCCTGAGATGTTTTAATTTGTTTGATATGTAAATGAGTGTGAATATGACCGCTAATTTATGACGTCACATTGGTTGCAAGCTCTTCATATTTGCTGAATATTACTGTTACCACGGAAGATTATAATTTCAAAAACTTCACTCACTGGTAAATCTGATGATACTCTGGAGAAAAACGTGAACTGGTATAGTTTTTAAAGTGAATATATAGGTTTAGAACCAATGTAAGTTGGGTTTGCAACTAATTTGACTTCATAAATTAGCCGCCATATTCATACTAGCCTAATTTACATATCAAATAAATTGAAATTTCTCGGGGACAAACCATGACAACAAGAAACTGAGAAATAAGTTAGCTTATAGTATGGTGTTTAATCCCTAATTATAACACAAGAAACGCATCATTGCTACACAAAGGTTGTACTAGACCCAATAAAAAAAACACTTGCTCGCTAATAACGGCATCGATGTGTGGAATAATTTTCCGACGCATTGCAAGCAAATTAGATCTCTTGCAGTATCTAAATCGACAATGAAAGTATATTTTCTTCTGTTGAATTTAGAAATAATTAGAATTCTTAGCACAATATTAATAGTTGTTATAGACTATTTTATCTTAACGCACTTTGCTTATGGTAAACATATCACCATAATTTCTTTGAAAACAATTGGATTGGTATTAACTTTTAATATTATTTATTTAAATTGTAACTTGTAACTAGGGACATTAAAGAAAAGCCTCATGGTTTCTAGAAGGTTTCTAGCCCTACTATTGTAAATATTTTCTATTTAAATTGTTAATTTTATGAACTGATTTGGACGAATATTAAGTAAATAAATAATAATTCAAGACAGTAATAATTTTCCTGTCATGCGTAAAGGCTGGTAGAAATAGAATGCTGATATTTCCGAATGTTTCCTTTTCTTCTTCAGGTACAAGTTTTTTCTAAATTTTAAGCCGCTATACAGGTATATCAATTTCAGACAATATTATTTTTAAAATGTGAGGGTATTACTCTGGGAATATTTTATCTTGTTATTAATATTTAACAAGATTTATATAAATATTCTAACAATTCTTTCTCCAACTGCCTCATAAAATGTCCAGCCATTGTCATCTGCGCTTTCTCTTCCAAACTTATGATCGGTGGTGTTAGTTAACTGACAGTTGGTTTCGTTTTCTTTTGACTCTTCCTTGAAATTGAGTGCAACACAGACACTTTTCTCCAAGCAACTTAATCCACAATCTAACCAACCCACGACGTTTGATTCAGATATGATATCTTTGTTCAATCGTAACGTATCTGAATAAACAATTTGTCACAAATTTTCAAGAAAGGAACCCTGAAACTGATAATATCATAACTTAGGGAGACCGGTATCCTAATATATTATTGAACAATTATTGAATTGAGCCTGACATTTAACAGTTATACTACAAGCTCGAGAGGAATATGAGCTGACTTAGCTGTCATGGTGCGTGACACGGAGTTTTATATCAGCCATATACGACAAGAGTGAGTGTAGCTATATGTTGGAGTTTTAATTATCACAGGTCAAACGCTAGACTTTCCAAAGTCCTTTCCAGGCCCTTCTATGGCGCGCTTCAATTCCTCTGTGGAAAGGACTTTTGTTACTTGTAGCGCGCCAAATCTCACCGGTGGAAAAATCCACCGGTGACGTCATTGTTTACATTGAAAGCCGAAGCG